TGTGGGTGCATGACTCCTGTCTCAGGCTGGAGAGGGGACTGTTACATGAGCACTGCCTAAGGAGGTCTCCTAGGATTTTGCATGTATTAGCTCTTAATCTTTCAATCCTATGAAGTGCCCAGTAAATTAGGTACTGTTTATCAGTACCATTTGACACATGAAGAAACTGAAGTTTGAAGGGCTTACAGAACTTGCCCATCAACACATTGGATTCAGAGTGATAGGGAGGGATCCTCTCTGTTAGCACCTCTGCTTATTTGTGATAGAGAGCAACTAACTAATGGTTAGTGGGAGAGTTCTTTGAAGAGAAGAGAGCTGAACCAGACCTGACAGTGTACAAATGTACTTGGCATCTTATGAAGAGAAAGGGCAGAGACTAGCTGAGAAAGCTTTCTGGGTTTAAGGAGAGAATGGAGGACAGAGTACCTGGAGCAGAATGAGCCAAGGAGAGAGGAGCAGAGAGGGAATAAGGGAGCAGAGAGTGAGAGAGAGGCAGATGAATATTTGGCAGGGTCCTGGGGGCTGTGGTAAGGGCTGAGATTTTATTCCTAGAGGAGTGGGAAGCCACTGGAGAAATGTTAATGGTAGTGACGTGATCTGTTGGAGGACTTCAAAGAATCACTTAGGCAGCTGTGTGGAAGAGATTGTAGACCACCTGGTAGATGGACTTCCTCCATAGTCCATTAGAAACAAGGTGCTGGTGGGAGGCTCTAGAGCAGTGGCTTAGATAATGGGGAGAAGTGGACAGAAATTTTAGGGTAAAGCCAAGCCTGGATGTGATGAGGGAAAGAGGAATCAGAGATGACATCTGGATTTTTAGTTTGAGGAATCAAGGAGATGAATAGTCATTTACCCAAGAGAGGGGAATTTTTAGGGGGTGGGAACAGGGCAGGGTGGAAAGTGGAGTTCTCTTGGACATGCTTATCCTTTTGAGATGTATATAAGACATCCAGATGGCAGTGTCTAGTAGGCAGTTGGATATATGAGTGTAGACAGAGCTCAGGAACCATCTGGGGCTAGAGATAGAAATGTAGGAGTCATTGGCATGTAGAAATTGGGGAGTATGGGAGAAGGGAGATACCCAGGGTGCTGCAAAGGTGGGATGCTTTTGCTTACAACACGCACATTCTGTTGTTGAACTCAGTTCTCAAGTTGGGGATAGTAGCACCAAAGTAACTGAATACATTCCCTACTGTTTAGGATCTGATTTCAGGTAGAGAGCCTTCATTCTACACTTGTCTGTGGAGGTTCTGCACAGGTGCTCATGTGTCCATGTGCTTAAACCCAGTCCTTCCTTGTATGCTGGCCTGGGGTCTCCAAAGTACATGATGGCCTAGATGTGGGTGCTGGGCTACTTGCTAATTGGAAGATTGGAATGACCTGAATCCTGAAAAAGATTTAGGGTTTACACACAATAAAATCCATTCTTTCAAATTATTTTGGAGTCCAGGGAGCCAGGTGTACAACTTAAAAACTTTTCATTATTTTGAAGTACATAATGGTCTAAGTTGTATGTTTACAGTGTATTTTATTAACTTTAAAAAAACTCAGTAGTAACATTTTTATCAACTCTTATTTCATTTTTTGATTTAAATCTTTTACTTCCTTGCATTTGGACAAGTTTTATATGTTAGTTTGTAGATGGGCTGATTATAAACATTCTTTAAAAATATTCAGAAACATACATACTGTCTCTCACAAAAATTTCATTTTCTCTGTTGCCACAACATTCCACATTCTGTTCCTGTTGCTAAGGCCTCTGGAATGTCCCAGTGCAGAAAAAGGATATAGAACTCTTTTTTTTTTCTCCTGGAGACATTTTATTTAAATGATTTTGTATCTTCTAGCTTACTTCCAAATATGGATATCTTGAAAGTAAAGAATTTAGAAAGCTAAAATTAAAGTTGCTTTAGATTTTCATAACTGGAACTCAGTTTCTTAGGGTAGCATGAATTGGATTTAAGTGTGTACCATGATTCTTTCCAGAGAGGGAGGGGGGGGGAGAGAGAGAGAGAGAGAGAGTGTGTGTGAGAGAGAGAGAGAGAGAGAGAGAGAGAGAGAGAGAGAGAGAGTTCCTGCCTATGCAGGCTTTTTAGGGAGTGTGATGTGCTGGTGAGATATTAAGAACTGACTTCACAGAAAGAGCACACCTGAGTTTGAGTCATGATTATGCTTTCTTGGTGAGTGATAGTAAACAAGTTCAAGTCTCCATGGGTAAAACGAAGATTATATTGTAGGATAAACCATATAAAAAGTCCTTAGCACGGGGCCTTTGGTACGTGGCAGTCTCTCAGTAAAGGCCTACTGTTTTATCTTCACTACTGTCATCATCGATTGCAAATGATCTTAAGTTATTGAGGAAATTGAAGTTTTTACAGAAGTCTAGGTTCCTGGTCCCTTACAGAATGATTCCTACCTTCTTACTTTTAATAATGTTTCTAAGTCTCGCAAAAGGAAGAAAGGAATCACAGCAAAAAAGAACAGTTTTCTGTATAAACATTATTGTAGCCAGTTGAATTGCTACTACTTGAAAGGATTGGTATAGTTTTTAATTTTTTCAAATTGCTTTATTTATAAAGGGGTTGGGGCTAGTATCTGACAAAGTGATATATTTTAAACAGCATTGCTTAACTTTGAGTGCTGTGGGAAACCACACAAACCAGCACATCACAGTTGCCTAAATCTAAACTGAGACCACACTTGATTTAATGCCATTTTAACTACCATTTAATTAATAAAATTAATTGAATCAATTTCATTAATGAAACTTGATATTTATAGACATTTCATACTTTACAGCTGTTAATTATGAATGCTATGTTCTGTAATTCAGATTTTCTTTCTTAATTGGTCTTGTGTTAGAGGCATTTAGCATAGGAGTATGTGGAACTTAAAAGGAAACTACTTAAATTTTATTTTTAAAATGAAATATCGTGTCAAATTGTAGCCATGGAAAATGGCTTATTACATGTTGATCATTGCATGGATATAACCTTTCCTTTTCTCCCACATGTACTATTATTAACTCAATGTGGGCATGCTTTCAAGGAAAATAGCACATTGTTTGGTTCTTATTTTTCATTAAATTATTAAGCTTAGTCACAGAAGTCAGCAGTCTACTAGAAGCTTCTTACATTATCTAATCAGTTTATCAGAGGTGTTCAGGTCTGACATTCCAACTTAATAGAGGTGGAAACTGGAAGGAATTTCTAGAAATCACGTTCCTCTGATCTTCAAGGGACCAAGGCCAAGCCATTGTTGTGAGTCAGAATGGCATCTCAGCTTCTGACGTAGACAAAGTACTTCATCTCTCTGTGAATCAGTTTCCTTCTTTTTAGAGTGGGGTTGTAATGGTATCTACCTAGGTAGTTGTGAGAAAAGAATGAGATAATAGCACCTAGAAACTGCTCAGTGCTGCCACTGCATCTCAGAATCTTGTCGGTCCCTGGTATATTTCAGATTTATAGCTAGCGATCTGTGTAATTCAGTGTAATAGAAACTGCTTAAACAAAATCTGAGCTATATCTTGTTGTAGATATTAGATCAGTAATTTAGTACTTTTGAGACTATGATCACTTTACATCTTCTCAGGGTATTTTCTTTTTCCTATAAACCTGCCATGATCACCCAAGCTGGAGAAAGTGTGAAATTAAATCTTACAGGAAGGAAAACAGAAGCTAATTAGTTTTAAGACATCTTTCCCCCTTTAAACTTGGTATTTGATGTACTCAACTATTTGACTAATTGAAATGTGCTAATTATCCATTTATTGCAGATATTCTAAATAGTGTACAATACTTGTTTAAAATCAGCAGTTGTGGGGATCCCTGGTGGCTCAGCGGTTTGGCGCCTGCCTTTGGCACAGGCGTGATCCTGGAGTCCCGGGATCGAGTCCCACGTCAGACTCCCGGCATGGAGCCTGCTTCTCCCTCCTCCTGTGTCTCTGCCTCTCTCTCTCTATCATAAATAAATAAATCTTTAAAAAAAAATTTATAAAAAAAAATAAAATCAGCAGTTGTCTTTTTTTTTTTTAAAGGAATCTTTTAACCCAATGTGGGGCTTGAACTCACCACCTCAAGATCAAGAGTCCCATGCTCTACTCACTGAGCCAGCCAGGCACCCTTAAAATCACCACTTTTGAAATATTTAAGAGATTAGATTCTGGATCTGAAATGTTAGTACGATTCCCTACCTAGATTGTTGTAATAAGTAATTATTCGTGGTTAGGACTTTTTAGTTAACCATATATCAAGTCACTTTCAGTTTTTGTATATATGCAGATAGTTTAGTTTCACATTTGTGTTTTAATTAATTTAACTTTCTAACTAAAAAATCCTACTTGTATCTTGCCCTATTCTGGTAACTGAACTGAGATTAATGTATGTAATGCTGTGTTTGTACCAAAGTTCCATATATTCAGGAGCATCAGTATGTGAGCAAAAGGACTAGAGGTTCCTGTGACCTGAAAAAATAGTATAAAAATAAATTTCTTTGTATTACACACTGACCAAACCAGCAATTTTACTCTTTAGTGAAACCTCTGCTTCCTTTATTAAATTTTCCATAGAACTCAAGAGACCAAATGGCTGGAATAGAATGCATAGTTAAATAAAATCATTAGATGATACAGCTTTGTAACTTGCTAGGCATTTTATGTGGTTGCAGATTCTTCCCTATAACCCTTGGTGGCGTTATCTAAAGTTGTTTTATTGTGTGAGTGTATGCATTGTTTGCATTTTAATAGATTTGTCTGTTTCACCTCTTACTGATGGCTTTTGGTGCCTTTTATTTTGACTCTCTGAACAGTGATTCTGTAAGCCTGATTTGACTTCTCTCTTAATAGTCATGGTGCCACATCAGTTACTTTTAAATGATACTGGAGTAACAATTATACTGGTGTACTTCATCTTAAAGCAGCTCCTTTAGAAAGTATTGCTAGCCTAAATGGTTTCATATTAATCAGAACCAGATGAGTGAGTGATGCTCTTTCTTTATTGCAGACATGCCAATATTTGGTCTGTGTCCAGCCCACGATGATTTCTACTTGGTGGTGTGTAACGACTGTAATCAGGTTGTCAAACCGCAGGCATTTCAATCACATTATGGTAAGTGCATAACCATTCAGAAATCATTATTAGAGGGTAAAAGGTAAAGCAGGATTAAACTGAAGGCCAGTGACAGCAGGGATAGAATATAATATCCCTCCCTCTGTCAGGAGGTACGCTTTCTAATTCATTGAATGGGTTAATGCCTGTCAGGTGTTGGGTATTTTCTGAATTTTATTGGAAGTGATGTGCATTTTCTAATTTATTGAAATTGGACAGGGAAAAATGTATTTTATAAAATCTCTTTTGAAATATTGAGTCAGTATAGTGAAAGGTTTATTTCCTTCTACACCTCATGGTTGTGAATTTAGTATATGGTAAAATTATACATGCACACACAGTATGGATACATGTCTTTTTAAAAAGAAATGTGATTTTGAAACGTCCAAGTGCAGTAGTTTGAAATCCAGCTTGACATCATGTTCTAATCTGTGAATATGATGAAGCTGTCACATCTTCTCCATTAAAATTCACATGTACTGAGAAATGAAGCATTGTGTCTTTAGGGATTTCATGAACCCTGAACCATCTCTGGGCTTCTAGGCTCCACACTTGCTGTCTGGATGTTTAATCATGGAAGAATCCAAATAAGATGGTTTTGCATGGTCATAATGCCACCTAAAGACATAGTTTTATATCCAGTTGGGTTCAGTTACAGCTCAGAAGTATTTGAGTGTACACCTTGTTTCAGGCATGGGGATATATACTATAATCCTTATTTACCTCTTCAGAGTTTATAGTTTAGATTAAGAGGTGGGCAAAACTAACTAGACATACTTTTTAAATAACTGTAAGTTGTTTCTTCGTTGTCCTCGGTACTATGCAAACTTTGAGACAGAATGATGAGATCCGTCTATAGGTAGAGTGTTTAAGCAAAGCTTCTGAAGTGAGGAAGTGACCCTGGTGACCTGAGCTTTAAGTGATAGGATGGAGACATCCATGTGGCAGTCTGGAATAAGAGCATTCTTATACAGAGGGAAGAAGTGATGCATAGCTGACCACTAGTTGGGGGATAGTGAAGGGAAGTAGAGACTAGAGAAGTCTGCCCTTGTAGGCAGGGACCCTGATTGTGCACGGCCTTGAAGGACAGAGTAAGAAGCAGCCTGGGGGCTTTATATAAGATGCATATAATGTAGGGCTTGTTATATAAAAAAGTAACACAGGCCCACCTTACTGGTTAATTTGCTGAGAGTAAATTGTAGGAGAAGGGTAAAAGCAGGGAAAATAGTTCAAAGGCAAGACATGAAAACAGACTAAGTAAGGCTAAGGTGGGACACCAGAGCTGGGGAGACAACATAGCTTTGAGATGCATTTTAAGACTAAAATCTGCAAGGCTTGCTATTGGGACAAAAGTCATTTTAAGAGTCATGCCATCATACCAATAGTCCTACCATGTTTTCACAAAGGAATAGATTTTTTTATGTAACCATAAAAAGGTTTTTTGAGTTTCTCATTCTGAGTGAAGCCCTGGGGTAGGCACTAGAGTGAGTACAAAGGTGAATAAGATACTGTCTTCTTTGATTAAGACTCATAGAGGTTAGTATTGGAAAAAGTAGTTAATCAATTACCAAGTTTTTTTGGAGTTCAAGATTTTGAAGCCAAACTAGATTGGATTTAAATTTAAACTTGCAAAAACCATAAATTGGTTGTTTGCCCCAAGCAAGTTTTCCAACCTCAGCTTCCTTTGTTACAATGTCCGAATGGTAATGGCAACTTCATAGGTTCTCAGTGACCATTAAATGAAAACAACATGTAAAGTGCCTTCTACAACACCTCACGCATAATAGGTATGAGGAAAAAAAGAAAAAAATAATAGGTATGAGAGAGGGAGAAAAAGTACAGCTGTGGATACAGAAAGATTTGTGTCTAAAGTGAAAAAACAGTCCAGTGTCTTAAGAATAAGGAACACAGATTGCTTCTTGATGAAAAGGCTTCTTAGAGAACATTACCTTAAGGTTAGGCTATTCTGAAGAGTAGAATGGATCTGTTGTCCCATGTGCAAATGTTATCTTTCAGTTTTTAGATATGTGATATATGTACAATGTGGAAGATGCAGAAAATACTTTTTAAAAATCACCTATAATCCCCTAAAATGGGCAGTGTTTTGATGGGGTTAGATAGGGCTGCCATATATAACTTCACAGTTTGTGCGCTGAACCACCGTGTTTGGTGGCCTCAGGTTGACAATAGCAATGATGTGAGCAAGCACAGAGGCAGGAGATTCCATGCCGTCTGGGATATACTGTATGGAGTCTCCATTGGCCAAAGCTGATTTTACCACATGTGGATGAACAGTGTGCCGAGACCAGCTGGGACTAGCTCTCAGAGCTTCAGTGCCCACTAGAGACCCCTGGCCTTGATGTGTCAGTGGGAACCTGCTGCAGTTTCTAAGTGATGACTTAGTGATCCTTCAGGGAGGAGTGGTGGGCAGAATGGATCGACAAGGAGCAGGAGAACAAATGGCAGTGTGAAAACAGCTGCAGCTTGGGGCAAGGCCCATTGAAAGGTGTTCACTCCTCCAAGACTCCCTCAGGCAGAAAGGGGCCTCCCTTGGTCCCCTCCTCCAGAAGCACTTCACACAGTTGTTCCAGCACATCTTATGGAGGTGATTTTCTCTCACTCTCTTTAAGAATGTCTGTGTACTGGGGGCAGAGGTGAGGGAGTTCCAGAAAATCATATTTTTGCCGTTTTTCTCTAGTACTTAGTCTACCCACCATCTTCTAATAAGATACTTGTTGGAGGAGAAAGGAACAGTGGTCACTTCAGACGTGTAAATGAGAAGATGTGAATGCAAGATTCACGTGCTCACATGCCTTCTATGGTTATGCAGGTGCTAGAATGGGACTGATAAAGCCACTGGGTGAGGAGGGGTGGGGCTTGGTCCCTCTAGTGGCCAGGGAAATATGGAAGCTGAAAGAAGAGTTGGAAGAGAGAAGAGTCCCTGGCAGAAAGATGGGGTCTGGGTGTTTGGAGAGAGGTTTTCGGCTGGGAACTGTTGAAGGAGTTCCCTCTGTGAGGCAGCACCAAGGAGAAAGCTAATGGAAAACCAGAGGTTTGGACATGGGTAGGTGTGGGGGGTTGGGTACACTGCACGAAATCGAGAGAGGCACCATGTGATGACCCTGGAGAGGTTTGGGACTGAAATACCACTTACGGAGAGGGCAGGAGGGGTGAGCAGTGTTCCCAGTACCAGGGAGCATTTCCATTGCTGCCAGTGTGTCTCCTCTCTTTGGGGATGGGGGTTGTAACAGGGAAAAGTTTTTTTGGAATCCATGTGTTTTTTGTTGTTGTAATTCCCAAAGGCCCATTCTTAACCTGTCAATACCGAAAACACTTTTCAAATTCAAAATCCTTCCCAGTGGCCATTATAGTCTGTATTAGGTATTAGGAAGAATCCATACCTGCCAATGGAAGGATTCTCTTCTCATCTTTGCATGAAATTGGTGAAAATATGCAGACAGTCTTCTGTGAATTAATGGATTATTGATACTCATCTGTGGCTTTTATGAACAAGTGAGCTGTTGCTATGAAATCCAACAGGCAATTCCTTTAAAGCTACTGCTGTCAGGACAGAGAAGGAAGCAATAATAACCAACGAGGCTTATAAATCGATTCATGGTGGTGGTAGTGTTACTGGGAATTGGTGAGCAGCTTATTACCCACAGTAGTGAGAGATAATATATTTTTTTGCTAGCCAAACTGCCTAGAAAGGGAGCTAATGTTTAACCCAGATTTCCATGTGAGCAGTGATGGTGATTGATGGTAGTGTCATTCCCAGGTTCTAATAGGTCTTTTTGCTTTTAAGTATAGACTGCTTTTTTTTCTTGGAAACTTCATAGTAATACCATACTTTCTTGGTGCTGTTTTAATGTTTTGAAGTAGTCCAAGATACTTCATATTTTCTTTTAGTTACTTGGTATTTTTGAGAGCAAGATGTTCCTTACTGTTAATTTCAGATTTAAAAGTATAATTTGAATCATTGGATCCCAGACCTGCTGTGCATCCAAATCAAAGGGGAGCTTTCTAAGTGGGCAGCTTCCCAAGGACCATTTGGACCAACTAGATGGGAATCTCTGGGATAGGCCCTAGGACTCTATATTCTAAACCACTCCAGAGACCGATGCTGACCCACAGGCTGGCTGGGATGCATTGTGATAACAGCCGCCCTCCTCTCTGGCAGGGTTGTTGCTTTGTATTCCTGGCGCCTGGCACAGTGGCTGACGTAGATTGGCACTCAGAAATGTGTTGAGTCTAGCAAGGATGGCACGAACGGAGGCCCTTGTTTTTTTTAAACTGATTTTTAACTTTTGGTATTACATGCTGGAAATGTCCTGTTAATTGCCTCAAACTTTGAGTTTGGAGGAGGGCGGAGCACCCTTCTTTTGAGATTGTTTACCAAGGCAGGAATCTCAGTAAGAAATGTGTTGGTCCTAAGCTGGCTACTAAGGAGCGTAAGATGTGTGGTCCTGTTTATATACATTGGCTAGAGAGCTGAACAGGTTGGACTAGCTGATGACTTGGGGTGCCTTTGGGGTTCTGTTTTGGAAGAGCTTCCCCAGTGATTCTGACATGCTGTGTGCTTGTGCTGCTCTTTGCTCTGCTGCTTCCTTCTCTTTGAGTTTGCTTATGAAGAATACCTTAATTCCTCTCCCATCTATCTTTTATGCAGACATGAGGTGATCTTACCTAGGTGAAATAAGTGAATGCTGTTAATTCAGCTGGGACAGGTGCCACATTTACAATCTCTAATGAATTGAAACCCTGCTTGAATGTCAGCTGTTGAAGTATTTTGCCCCAGGTTAGTTAAGTTGACCCATTTGTTCACGTTTTGGCTCAGCCCTGGGTCCCTGAGCAAGGCCTTGTAGTCACACCTGCCTCTGCCACCTTTCCCTGATTTTAATCAGTCGGGCTCTCTATGATTTGCTTACATAATTCCACTTAATATTTTTCTTTAAATCAGACCACTTCTGTTTAAAGAAGTCCTTACAAACAGAACCTTA